TTAGAATAGTCTCAAGAATTTTAACACTAGATATACTTAATCATTAAATAATGAATGTATTTTTACTCAACCTTTCAATCTTGTATTTACTCTAATGTGTTTGTGTAGTTCACTATGTATTCTATAAAATGTACATAATTTTATATAAAAATAAACGCCGGGTGCTGTGCATAATATTTAAACACATTGTTATCAAAATAATATCTTTTCTATCAAAATATAATTTGTTTTATTAAATTCTGACAATATTTGTGTCATTTATGGCGTGAAGTGGAAGTAATATCTTAATCGAGGCCTGCATTTAAATCGGCTTAAAAAGGGATGATTTGGTTTGCCTTCAATCCATATAACAATGTCTAACAATAGAGAGGCATATAATGGCAACTGATCCTCATATTTGACGCTTTTATACTACATATGTTTTTGATATATCTCTCAACACTCGGTGTTAGACCTATAGTATACATCATAACTGATACTAAAAATATATTTTCTGTATATTAGAAATACTGCATTTGGGAAGTCATTTGTGTATAAGCTTTGATATTAATATTTTGAATTAGAGAATAGAAAATGTACTTTTGAAAAATATATTGCAGATTTTGCATTTAATTCATATTTAAAGTTATCCATAAAAATAAAATGATTAACAGAAAGAAGAGAGAGAGAGAGAGAGAGAGAGAGAGAGAGCATCATTTGAAGGGAAACAGAGAAACCATTGAATAGAAACGATAGAGAATACACAGAATATAGAGAATAGAGTTTAAGTTTATATTAAATATAAGTTTTGTTACTCAAAACGTGTTACAAACGGAGGCATAAAGTGATGGAGCAGTGAAATCATGCAATAAATTCAGTTTCATATCAGACAACACATGTGTTTTGGAGAACACAATCAATACTTGGAAACATGTCTTATTGTTTTGATTCGTTGCTTGTATTGGCGCATACATTAAGGAATCCAACCCTCGTTACCATCGGCTGTGAATGACTCCCGAGCCTCCGTTAGCTCTCTCTCTCTCTCTCTTTCTTTCTTTCTTTCTCAATATTAATACTAATATCAGAAGTTATATTTGCTAACAGAATGCCATTCACGACAATGAATAGGAAAACTTGATTTTGTTTTGTATTTGATTTTCTAAGATATTTTGTTGTTGAATGCATTTTCCAATTTTTATTAACAATATATTAATGCAAAAACTTGCTTATAAATTATAATAAAGAATTTATATTATAATATAGTAAATTTAAAATAGAAACTTTTGTAAAGATTTGATATAATTAACTGTATAATTTATTATACTGTATATTTAATTCAACACTTAAATGGATTACAATATGTTTTGTTTCTTATTAAGTAAATATTTTATTAAATATTTAGAGAAATTTTTAAAATTACATCTGATTTTGGAATAATTATTTTGTTAAGAGATACTGAATATAAAACAAAAGAAGGTTTATATTAAAACATTAATCAAATATACTTTTGTTTAAAAAAATTAAAGCATTTTAAGAGATGTGTATGCGTTAAAGAGATTAAATTAATTGTGATTTCAACTTGTTGAATTGAAGAATTTATAGAATAACCTTTCCCATACTTTACCCATGTGTGCATTATTACCACTAATTGACATTGTTAATGACACGCTTATATTTAACGTCCCAATCGTGTCTGGTTTAGACGATACTTCAAACCTACTTTTACTTGTATTAAACTTAATTTCCGATACATTATCACCAGTTGGTGTAATTATTGTATTCAAAGCACAGGTATAATAGTCTTTACTTAATACCAGATGATCGGGACAGACACAGGTATAGCCCTTATTTGGGGTCAATACACATATATGGGAACATTTATGTGTCAAACAGGGATTGTATGATAGCTTTTGGGTCAATGGGTGAAAGATATGGACACCCATTATGTGTTCATTCATTTCACGAACGAGTGTTGTCTGATTACGTCCCGTGAATTTGTCGCTCATATCCAACGAATAGGTGATCCAATCGCTCCAATACAGGGAGTCTTCAAATACAGCCAAAGAAAATGGATGAAAAATCTTGTCCTGAAGTACAACCCGTCTGTGATTTGTTTCCAAGTCTAAGAACTCGATTCTTCCGTATTTAGCTTCAGACCAGTAGAGCCTATTCGACACGACATCCAATGCCAGTCCATTCGGCCAAACAATTTCATCACTAATCAGATGCCGTTGATTAGAGCCATCCATTCCCGCGGTGTATATTCCCGGCCTTTTTCCCCCATTCACTCCAGAATAGGCGCCCCTCTGAGGGCTCGACAACAATACCTCGCGGAAGATCTAACTCTTCAAAGAGTCCAGAATTACAGATTTCTCCGTCGATATTACAGACAACTATTTTGTTAAGTTCGGCGTCCGTTATATATATGTTGCCTCCCATCCAATCGATGGCCAGATCTTCAGGATTTTTCAGACCAGTCGTGTTAATGAGCTTAAAGTCTTTGCCCGAAAGTTTGACAGAATATACTCCGGAGTGAGTCTTATCCAAATCAACCCAATATACCCGGTCTTCGGAGCCGAAGTAATCGATTCCAACTGTTTGTGTCAAAGCTTTATAAACAGGAAAGTATTGGTTGGTATTAATCATGAGTCCTCGGATACCATCACTGTTTGAAAATAAAAGCAAAGGTTCGCCTTCTTTGACGAGACATGTCTTATTGCGAACGAGTCGATAGCCATCAATACAACCGCATTTATAGCCACCATCTGTGTTGGCACACGTCTGAGAGCAAAGATTGTCCACTTTGTTGGAGAAGCACTCATTTCTATCAATACAGGTCCGGTTGTCAGTTAAGCTGAGATCATAGCCTTCTCGACAATAACATTGCGGTCCTTCGGGCGCTACAAAGCAATGGTGAGCGCAGTTTGTTGTGTGACAGCCGGTGGGTCGACACTCTGTGCCCTCGTCGTCGCCCTGCGGACAGTCTTTCTTCTTATCGCACACTTTGTTGTGAGGAATGCATTCACCGGTCATACACTGGTAAGAACCGTGCGCTCTGTCACAGATCTCGTTCTTCTTGGCCTTCGGGCACTCGTCTTCATCGGAGTTGTCGTCGCAGTCGGAACTGCCATCACATCTCCATCGCGAAGGAATGCATTCAAAGTTATGACATAAAAAGCCCAAACACTCGACAGCATTGGCCGTACAGTTTTGTTCGTCGGCGCCGTTAGAGCAGTCATCCATACCATCGCACAGCCATTTGTCGGGAATACACGTGCCGTGAGTGTCGTTACAGCGCGTGTGATGTTCGGGACACTCGTTCACGTCATGGCATTTGAGTTTTAGATTATGACACGACTGTTCGTCCGCCCAATTCCCGCAATCGTCTACTCCATCGCATCTCCAGAACTGAGCGATACATCTGTCGTTTCCGCAGTCGAAGAAGTTTGACGGACACCCGCTATAGACTAATGCAACATAAATTGACAATTTTATAACATATACTGTATATTTTATCATGCTTATTATTATTACCAAATATAATATTTATAAAATATATTGTCAATGGAATTAATATTGTTTTGTAATTCATTATTTTTAATTATTTAAAATACAAACGCGTAAAACCAATTAAAATATTGGTGTGATTTATTAATATAAGAAAAATTATTAATGCAGTAAAATATGTAATATTGATAACTATAATTGTCTTAAAACTAGAAATACAATGAATATCATTCCTTTAAAACTTAATTACTTATACTGTATTTTTAATTTAAGTCAATATGTATTGTATTTCAAACAAATGTATTTAAAAATATTTTATTTATATTATATGCAAAAATTCCGAATTTTTATAGTTGCGATATAATGTAATGTTAGCTCTAAACAATTGCAATATTTATAAAATAATTTATAATTTTATTTACACTTTATTACAACTTATTTAGCATAACATCCTAATAATCAACTGTTCACAGAGCGGGTATTTGCGGGTATAGAGACAAAGTCTACCTTTTGAGAAGTCCTCAAGTACTAATGATATTGCATATTATATCAAAATAGATAAAATATACTGTATTATTGTTAATATTGTTAATATTATAATTTATAACTTTATATTTTTAATTTGTTTTATAAAACGACGGAGAATGTGCTGATTCAAACAGGATATTGATTCATAAATATTTGGGATGTCTTAATAATGAATCAGTGATGAACAATACAGTCTCATCACTAAAACCTATTAGTTATATGTTTGAGACTTTGGGGGCAAACGAATTAAATAATAAGAAGCGTTTTGACCAACTTTTATTTTCATAGAAATGCATATTTGGTCCAAAAGCATAAAAAGCATGAATTTACTCGAAAATGTCTTCCCATTGTCAATATATACCCTCGAGAAAGTTAATTCCTATACCATTTATATCTTCCTGGAATTTACCAATTTTTGGGAGGGAAGATATCGGGAAAATAAGAATTACATTCTAACATTATGTAAGATTAAGCCATCGCTAAACTTATAATTTCATTCAATCTTTAAAATGTAATTTTCTCTAATATAGTATTTCTATTGCAGTGAATATAACACTGTATTTGAAGCAAAAATATAGTGAACTGAAGAAATATTTATGCGAAAAAGCATTGCATTTATGAAACCATAAATTTAATGATAGGTTAGCATAAAATATATCGACGAAAGCATTGCAAACGTCTTCTCATATGAATTACACAAAAGAGATGAGAGAGAAAAAGAGAGAGAGACTCTGCGGACTATGGTTAACACATTCACGTATTCACTCCCAGACAGCACACATCCAAAGTATCCAAACTTTTATTACTGTGCGCACAATTGTATCCTATGCCTAACCTAAAGCACCAAGGTAGATTATACTGGGGGCATTGTACCAGCTAGGTGAGTGTTTGGTATGCAATATTGCAAGTGTGCAGATACCGTATATTAGTGCCAATGTGTTGACCCTGGTCTCTCTCTCACACTCTCTGCAACCCTAATGTGAATCTNAAAGCACCAAGGTAGATTATACTGGGGGCATTGTACCAGCTAGGTGAGTGTTTGGTATGCAATATTGCAAGTGTGCAGATACCGTATATTAGTGCCAATGTGTTGACCCTGGTCTCTCTCTCACACTCTCTGCAACCCTAATGTGAATCTGCTGTAGAAATGAGTGAAAAGCAAATAACAATAATAATAACATAAATCGCTTTTTTGGGCCATAAAACTAAATGACAGCCTTCTCTGCGCGCACTCTCTCTCCGATCGTACGGTTGGCGCACAAACTCTGTAGACATGAGCTCTCATTGAAAGCAATGCTTCACCAATCAATGCCTTAGCGTTGAGTGTCAACAATAGATTGAGAGTTTGGGTCTCACGCGAGCCATAGCAACACCAAACCAACAATTAAAACACATTATTATTATTGTTATTAGCGTTTGTGTTGTGTATGGCTTATGAGGTTCTCTGCCATCATCTGTGAGACCAGTGACTGAATGCCCGATACGTTTGGACCGAAATGAATGGTGAGATGTGTGACCTGCGGAGGGGGAGGGGGCGGCCGCGCAAGTTTGATAAGAGTGGACAAGTGTTTGTCTGCGATTGGATGGGATGTGACAAGAGATTCAACCAGAGGTAAAGTCAATTTGACCACCATTTCAGTCATCCTTTCATCCATTCTATGGTCTAATCATTTATTTTTTGATCCCATAATTATAGCTGTAATTTGAATAAACATTTGTTAACGCATTCAGGTATTTGTCGTTTGATTTCAATTTCAATTAATACACGCATTGATTGGCGTTTATCTGGTTTTGATTTGCTTGAAGTCAATTTGCTTTTAGCATAAGTTTTATGAATTATTAATGATGTTGTGATTACATGAATGTGTGGCCATTCAGGCGATCGGCCGTTTGCGTGCGATTGGCCCAACTGTGGCATGTGGTTCACGCAGTCATCCAATCTAAACAAGCATTACTTAACGCATACGTATGTCCTATAATCTGATCCAATGGCCAATCGATTGATTAACACATTATTACTAAACATATAATTGTAGAAACGAGAGGCCGTTTCGGTGCAATTGGCCCGACTGTGAGAAGCGATTCAAACAGTCATCTAATCTAAACAAACACAAACTCGTCCACACCGGTAGACACCACTCACTTGTTGTGTCCATGAATTGATTGATTGAAACAAATGTGTATTTTTCAGGTGAAAAGCCATATATCTGTGACTTTCCTCAATGTCTGAAGAAGTTCTCGCAATCGAGTAATTTGAAGAAACATAAATTAGTTCATTCCGGTATTGCATCGCTTTTAACGTTTAGTTACTCGTTATAGTGAACACAATTAATGTTATAGTTATTGACAATTAATTAAACGGAACTTGTATTTGTTTGCTTTATGAACGAATTGTAGTTTCAAGTGTTGGTATAGTATTAGCCGGAGGTTTATTTCGAGTACATTAATTGTGTTAATTATAATGAGTACTATTCATATGATTGAGATAATAATGTATCTAAACGTGTAAAATATATGATTAAACATTAGGTGAGAAGCCATTCAAATGCCATTTCAATGGATGCGGAAAACTATTCGATCAAAGCTGTAATTTGAATAAACACTACTTAACGCAGTAATCATTGAATTTTATTGTCATATGTTTAATGCAATTATGAAAATTATGTCAACTTTTAAAACAACCCATTTGTATGGCATCCCATAGTATTGGTCATAAGCCCTATGTATGCGATTATCAGGATTGCGGCGAAAAGTTTTCCCAATCGTCTAATCTGTCGAAACACTACCGAAGCAAACATTCGGGTCAACCGTCGACTTCCTATTCGCTGAGTAACGGCGTCGCCGTCGCCAGTGTTGCCGCCGATGACGACTCCTCGCAATTCATCAAATGTGATGTCACTAATTGTGATGTAATCCTAAGCCAATCGAGCGCTTTCACGATTGAACACAAACCTAAACTATCCGCTAATAATAATGAGACGAAAGACACACAACAACAGCAACAACAACAACACCTTCAGCAGCAGCTTCACCAACAGATGAGCGCTCATCACCACCTCTCACACCACAGGAAACGATTGGACACCACAAACAGCGCGGCGGCCATTGCGTTGGTCAACGAGTTGGAAGCGGTGGCCGCCGCTCATCGGGTTTGTCCGACACAGCGGTTCACTTTCGAGACACTGCCTCTCAGTTTGAATCTGAGCTAAGAGTTGTATTGAGTGATTTGGACACCACTTCTCACCCATACATGAAATATGTTTGATATCAAAGTACTCGTGAAATTGTAATTGTCTTCGTCTCAAATGATGAGTTCCTCTGAAATCAATGATATTTTATGTTTTTTTATTTGCGATAAAAACATTTCAATCAAATTTAATATAAGTTATATATTATATAATCTGCTTTTGAATAAATTATTAACTAATTAAATGTATGTAATTGTTTGTCAATTCGATGGGCGCTTCAAAAGCAATAATTATTTATATTTATTATGAATTGATATTTTAGTGATTTCTTCTGTAATTAATGTAAATAATTGTATATTTAATTTCCAAATGCTTTTTTCTTTGTGCTCACATTTATTGGTGGAAATATATATACTGTACATATATTTACAGTAAAAAACAAATTATCATTTTATTAAATAAATTTTTCATAAATCAATAAAATTATCGATAATTACCACTTAATTCTCAGTTTTATACTGGATTTAAGAATAGATTATTAAAAAAATTATTATCAATTGTTTTAAGACGAAAATTTCATTAAATAAAATACCAATTAAATGAAAACTATTTATTTGTTATATTTCTTATTGTATTTAGTTAATTACAATAATAATAATGTCAATTATTTATTGGTGCCTAATATAACTTTACATTAAAATAATATATTTTAATCTAGATATAGTGATAAATTTTGCATTTAATAATTTAATGCTTAATTATAATTTATAAATGAGAAAATTGCAGATATAGTAAAAGATCAAACAAATAGACATAATTTCAATGCCGATTGAATTACTAAAATATTGAGTATTTAGCAGTACTTTAGGTCTAATAATCAAATTCCTGACAAAAATGAGAGATTAGAAAATATACAGTGAGTGCAAAGTATCCGGAAAACACTGGACTCTCTAAATAAACTTTTAGAATCTAGAATAAACCAGATTAATTAACAATAAATATATAACCAAAATGAATTTCATTAAATATTTTCAATAATTAATAGATTTAAACTAATTTTTAAAAATGATCAAGGTGTTATATTTTTATATTATTATAGTTTAATAGAAATTTTTAAATGTGTTGATAAAAAATTGTTAATGAATTTTAAATTTACTAATTGATGTGATCATCGTTTTCAATACAAATATAATGATTAAAAAACTTATGTATAAAATGTTATATAAAAATATAAATTATTTGCTAATTTCTAACTTTCCTTTAATAACATAAATCGCTTTTTTGGGCCATAAAACTAAATGACAGCCTTCTCTGCGCGCACTCTCTCTCCGATCGTACGGTTGGCGCACAAACTCTGTAGACATGAGCTCTCATTGAAAGCAATGCTTTACCAATGAATGCCTTAGCGTTGAGTGTCAACAATAGATTGAGAGTTTGGGTCTCAAGCGAGCCATAGCAACACCAAACCAACAATTAAAACACATTATTATTATTGTTATTAGCGTTTGTGTTGTGTATGGCTTATGAGGTTCTCTGCCATCATCTGCGAGACCAGTGACTGAATGCCCGATACGTTTGGCCCGAAATGAATGGTGAGATGTGTGACCTGCGGAGGGGGAGGGGGCGGCCGCGCAAGTTTGATAAGAGTGGACAAGTGTTTGTATGCGATTGGATGGGATGTGACAAGAGATTCAACCAGAGGTAAGCCCAATATGACCACCATTTCAGCCATCCTTTCATCCATTATATGGTCTAATCATTTATTTTTTGATCCCATAATTATAGCTGTAATTTGAATAAACATTTGTTAACGCATTCAGGTATTTGTCGTTTGATTTCAATTTTAATGAATACACGCATTGATTGGCGTTTATCTGGTTTTGATTTGCTTGAAGTCTATTTGTTTTTAGCATAAGTTTTATGAATTATTAATTATGTTGTGATTACATGAATGTGTGGCCATTCAGGCGATCGGCCGTTTGCGTGCGATTGGCCCAACTGTGGCATGTGGTTCACGCAGTCATCCAATCTAAACAAGCATTACTTAACGCATACGTATGTCCTATAATATGATCCAATGACCAATCGATTGATTAACACATTATTACCGAACGTATGATTGTAGAAACGAGAGGCCGTTTCGGTGCAATTGGCCCGACTGTGAGAAGCGATTCAAACAGTCATCTAATCTAAACAAACACAAACTCGTCCACACCGGTAGACACCACTCACTTCTTGTGTCAATCAATTGATTGATTGAAACAAATGTGTATTTTTTAGGTGAAAAGCCATACATCTGTGACTTTCCTCAATGTCTGAAGAAGTTCTCGCAATCGAGTAATTTGAAGAAACATAAATTAGTTCATTCCGGTATTGCATCGCTTTTAGTGTTCAGTTACTCGTTATAGTGAACACAATTAATGTTATAGTTATTAACAATTTATTAAACGAAACTTGTATTTGTTTACGTTATGAACGAATTGTAGTTTCAAGTACAGAGGTTTATTTCGAGTACACTAATTGTGTTAATTATAATGAGTACTATTCATATGATTGAGATAATAATGTAAAATATATGATTAAACATTAGGTGAGAAGCCATTCAAATGCCATTTCAATGGATGTGGAAAACTATTCGATCAAAGCTGTAATTTGAATAAACACTACTTAACGCAGTAATCATTGAATTTTATTATCATATTTTTAATGCAATTATGAAAATTATGTCAACTTTTAAAACAACCCATTTGTATGGCATCCCATAGTATTGGTCATAAGCCCTATGTATGCGATTATCAGGATTGCGGCGAAAAGTTTTCCCAATCGTCT